AATCGTTCCAGGTTGAAGCTGTTACGAAATTCCTTAATGATTTGGCAGCAGAACTCGCTTCCTTGGTGACAGAGGTAGCTCTTCACAATGCAGGACTTTCCGCTAAACAGCTTTTAGATAAGGTCGTTAAAAGGTCCTACTGGCCGAAGACCAGTGTGAGTTCGAACTGTCCCAAAGTCGCTCCTATGGAAAGTGTTCTTGTGATGTTCCTGGTACAGGAAGATATTTGTGTAAGCGTTTGTTGAGATCTGGGAATGTGCGCCTCGTTAAACCCAACCTCAGGACGACTGGTGCACAAATTGGTCTCATAGTAAGTGTGTTTGCCTCTTCACTATCGCGCGAATTTTTATTGCGTCATATTCGATTGACGGAGCGGATAGAGCACTTGGTTGGAGTGGGCAGGACTCGAGACCTGCCCTGACCCCCGCTCCATCTTTCCTTCTGGACAGAGTTCGCTACCAGCGTTTGGGTTCTACATTTTGAAATGATCTTCAGCATATTGGCGAACCTCTCCTTTTTTTTGAACTGAGAAGATTCCTCCCTCAACTGCATTCAAAAATTTTTTCTCGGTGCTTTTGTTTCACACCAAAAAAAAAGAACCTAATCGAGTGTTTAAATGCAAAAATTCGACGTTTTTTTTTACGGAATTGGGTGTTTGGGAGTCAGAATTTTTTTAATTGATCTGATCTAATTGATTTGATCATTTTTTGGCCAGCTCAATTTTCAAACTCTTTCATAGCAAGTATTGAAGGGAGAATCGCTCAGCTCTGCTTTTTTTTCGCAAAGTTTGACTATTAGCCGCAAACTTCCCATAGGACGATTTTCGAAGTTCTTTTTAAAGCGCACCACTTCGCGATGCTCTCGACTGGCCACTTACCTTTAGAACTTCCTTTTGCGTCAAGTGCCTGAGAATTCTCACTGATAGCCACCATAGAAAACATGAAGGCGGAAGAAGTGCCGAAAGAAGGAACTTGTTTTCCAAAACCAAAAGTTCTGTTTACTTGAAGAGGAGAAAGGTAGGAGAGGAGTGGAGAATTGCTTCAAGTGAGCGGTGGTCACAGTTCATTTACCAGAAGGTTGATTTATTCATTGATAGTAGCGAAGAGTCAGAGAGAGTTTTGTACAAAGTGTTCTCAAAATAGCGGAGACCAGGAACTAGGATTTCCCGGTTAAGTACGCAAATCGTTTATGGAGCTATCTAAAGGACGCTGGGTTATGAGTTTAACACTTTGCGGCGCACAGATACGGGGGCATCTTTTAGAACTATGCCTAGGAGGGGAGGAACTTCGAGGGTGATGGAAATTGCTCACGCACTCTGGGTTCTTTCTTCCGCCTGAAGCTTAGTCCCTTTTAATAAAAAAGGAGTTGTTTTCCCTTCATTTCGGAAGACGAGAAGAGCGTCGAGTGCAGACCACACACCACAAGTGACGACGGCCAAGAAAAAAAAGAAAAAGCCACTTTTTTCTTGGCCGTCGTCACTTGTGGTGTGTGGTCTGCACTCGACGCTCTTCTCGTCTTCCGAAATAGGGGTGCATGGTTTTGAATGTGTTGCCACAACCACGCCCCCGCTTTTTGCGATAGCGCCCACTTTGCTCATGGCAGGAACCGATCCTAGGTTTTTTCCTCTTTTCTCTTTCCCTCATCGTGTTCACTGGCGTTCTTTAACATAAGTTTAAAGGCAGTGCACTCTATGGTGGCTGGGAAGCGGGAAGGAATTGAGGACGTTGGTGGGCGTCCAGAGGCGGGTCAACCACTCCCCCTTGAGCTAGGGGGAATGTTCAGACCACTACTCGACGTCCTTCCTCCAATGGCACCTCCAGCTCCCGTTCGCGCTCCCGTCCGCCTCTCATGGTCGGATATTGTGTTCAGCGCCTTCAACAATTTGGCAGAAATGCATGCAACTCTAATCCAAGGCTACAAGGCAGGGGAAAGCACAACGGTACGTTGTTGGAATAGAAAGAGTAGTGAAAATGTAGTTTGGGGGGCATTCCTTGTTATCTTATCCTTAGTACTAAGAGAGCACCTCTCTAGACCCTCCAACTCAAGGATAAGATAATAAACGTAAACGGCTCATTTGAGGTGTGCTTACAATAAGGACAAGTGAATTTCCTATTTCCACTCCCTGCCCACCATTCCATCCAGTTATTTGCACCTGAGTCCATTCAGACATTGGCACCTTCCCTTCTCCGCCTTAGGCTGTAATAAAAATGTCCTCCCCGGGTCCAGGGCCTTTTCCTTGGACCATAGCAGACGGTGATGTGAGAACATCTCAGGGTTTTCCTACAATACACCGATACCTAAGGTGCAGGTTGCTCATGTTCGTTTCGGGGAGGGGAGAGGACATACCGATTGTGGGCCACATATTAGCACTTGAGGACCATGCCCTCAGGACGAGCGAAAGGATTCTGAGGGACATCTGTGAAGCATTCAGCAAGCAGCAGAGATATGTTCTCCTGGGAATCGGTTTTTCACTTTCTGGGCTGATCCTAGTTTTACACTATCGGACTGTTTAAAATGTCCGCCCTCCCCTCCTCGTTTGCTTCAATTAGTGTCAAAAGTAGTTACCATTTAAAATGAGCTCGGATCACTCAGTATCATCTCTTATACTTGGATTGTAGAAGCACCCGGATGTGGCGTCGAATAACATTTTTACCGAAAGAATTGTGGTTAAACAAAATTAAACTTACACGGACGGACTTACAACCGATTCTGCGTATTTTCTGTAGCATCATAGAACGTTTCTTATGTTTCGCCACCATATTCTCACGAATTTCATCTCACTTTCTGTTATTCGCTTTGCCGTGTAGGTTGACGTGGTGTGATGCTAAAGGTGGCGTGTGTCTTACCACGGTAACGGTATGGGGTCAGCAGTTTCCCGATTGTTCTTCACTCAAACCGTTCAAGCCTTCCATTCGGTGCAATCACTATAGGCGGGGGCATCTTCTAGAACTAAGCTCAGGAGGGCGTGGAAACTCTGGAGAAAAAGTGAAAATAACTCACGCATCATGGAGTCTCTCCACCCCCACCTGAGGCGTCTCCTTTTCGACAGAAAGGTCATGTTGTACGCAGTTTCAAATGCACTGCCATCATAATAGCCACCTACTAATACCTTGCCGAAAGCGCCTACCATTCCTTTCATGATGGTTTGACAGAAAATCTCCAGGATCTGACCGTTCATCTCTGGGGAACAAGAACACTTTGTGTACATCGATTGGCCCTTGCAAAGCATTATCATAGCTAAAATCACGTTTAGATGGCACTGATACTTTGTATTGTATTACGAATCATTGCAGCAAATATTAGGTGTTTCAGAAAGTTCTGTCGTTTTCTGACATTCCACTTTTGGATGCTTTATTTCCCTTGAAATCTAGGAAAGCTGCAATTGATGTTGATGTCATTTTGAAGAACTTTTCCAGCTCTATCCAATGCTCAGCACAACTTTATCCTAAAATATTTTCTTATAGCTTTTTCAAAGCTTTGAATTCAGTATACTCGAGGAGCAAGCTGGCATGACTTTCTTTTTCTAGCTTTAAATAGAAACCGGAAAAAACGAAATGAAGCTCTACAAACTTTGCAGAATTTAAACTGTGCTGGAGGAGGGTTGTGGCAGCTTTCATGGGGCCAGCGGCTGGCCATGTTCTTCAGTATCAGATGGAACTGTTACAGTGGAGAATCAATCTTTATACTAATTCAAAAATCATCAAAAACTCTAGGACATGGGTCCAGCATTCCTCATTATAAAGGAACACACACATCCCTGAAAGGTGTCTTGAACGCACATCGCACGGCCAACCCTTCACAAGTTGTACCAGCTGAACTTCAGAGTGGTTCTGCGAACATCTTACTTAGTAGACCCTTGAACTATCTACTGTCAAACTTCTGACGATCTCGATAGCTTCCTTGAAGAGAAATACATCAAAAACCAACATGATGCTAAAACGACCTTCCCTCAGTTCATCGCCTCCAGAGGTCCAGCATTCCAAATAAACGTACCCTGTTGAACGGTTTCTTATAGAACAAGATTCGCGCTTTCAAATGGTTTTTTAATCAACTCGAAAGGTTTAGCCCAAGCCGAGATACGTGCATTTAAAATTAGGGGCTGGAAAACGACAGAACTTTCTGAAACACCTAATAATGCAAGAATAGCCACTGCAAGCATGCATTGGTCATCTTTTCTTGTTTGCTAGGAGTTCAATGTTGATTGGACCACACACTGTCCACAGCGTGAGATTCTAGCAAAATTAAACTATTCTCAAAGGTACACTGATGGTAATTGTGTATTGAACGTTATTAAACTGCACTTGTTGGAGGAAAGTTTACACCTTTGTTCGTATGTCCAAACTGTCGCGGAAATAACCACTCCTACTCTTACGTTTCCTGCTTTTATCCTTTTAGGGAGGATAAGATAGGTGTTCGACGAAGCGGGCGGAAAAAAGACTGGAAAGACGGGCGGATTCCACCTAGTCAGGTGCGAAGGCGATTTGGTGTTTGCAGCGAAAGATATGTCACTGCTCATATCATGGACCGCACCCGCGCACAGCTGACACACCGACCCTTCTCGCCATCTGGAGTCTAGCCGGCTCTCAGCAGAGGACGGTACCGTTTGATGAGTGTCCAGTACTTTGATGAGACTGCGCTCCACGACGCATAACTCAACAGGCAGGATAGGCTTTAGATTCTTTATTGACGCACGATTCTTGGCACTGGTATAAAATAAGATAAGGACTGCTGTTAGGAAGGTTTTACGTTAGAACAGATAATCTTCCTAATGTTTCCTTCCTCCACGATTTTTTTAAAGAAAACAAAAGTGCTGTTTCGGACGATTTTTCAGTTCCGTCTGACGAACTTAATTTTTCTCGTCCCTTTGATACGACACGAACAAGGTTGCCCCAAGCTTTCGAAAACACCGTAGTGTTTTAGGTCAAGCAAATGCAAGTTGTTAGAGGTCACAGTGATGGAATAGGATGCTTCATGCGTCTCCTGTTTCGCTTTTTTAAACTATGAATTTCGGGTGGGCCGAAGTCCAGCGACATCCGATGAATGATGTCGACGGTGAGGTGGAGCGTAGGTGCGTAATTAAGCGTTGCTGTTGTGACCTCTTTCTCTACCCATTTTTACCCCTTCAACTGCTATCCTCAGTGGATATGATGCCCTCTCTTTGTCATCTCATTTTATGGCACCATTTCAGCATTTGAAGATTTACGTCACGAGGAGAGAGGGATCAGGAGTTGGCTCTAATGGTATATAGCCTTTTACTAAATGCGTGTCTTTACCTAGCATCTACGGGTCCTGTCTCCGCTTAGAGGACCATTCATTGGTGGAGGTAACATTTACGTCCCTCACCTTTTTGGAATACTCAAGTTCCACTGGATTCCACACCAGTTCTACAAAAATTATTGTGAACGACTTGGCGCAATGTGTCTCGGAGTGGGGGGGGGGGGGGGGGGGAGGAGTGGCGCTCTGTACAAAGGCCTCTAGGCAACTAAATCTAGCGCAAATCTAAATCTAGGCCGAGGCGCGATTAACGAAGAATATAGATGGTTTCGCACACCTGAGTCCCTCGGTTATCTTTACTACGTGAAAACTGAGCGTTATCTTTTTCAAAGTCCTGCCTCCAAGTTTTTTCTCTTTCATTCTATATTTTTACTTTCGAGTTTTATTCGTTTAATTTTCATCCAAGCGATATATTAATCGTACGACCTTCAACCAAGACATAGGCAAAAATTCGTTAAGTAACCTTCGTGGGGGCATTAAACTAGCTACAAAAGCAAGGGAAAAGTAAAGTGAGAAAGAATTAAAAATTAGATCGGAGAGTAAATTATTGCTCTTAGACGGCAATGTTGGGATTAGCAAAGGGCATAGTAACAATAAACTATGCTAATACAAGCCCCGGAAGCTATCAAGACATACGGTTAATGTTATGTGTATGTCCCATAAAGTAAGGAACTGGCAAAGGTTAAGAAACAATTTCATACATGAAGACGAAAAAATGAAAACTTTTGATAACTGAAGCTATTCAATGGCCTCCTGCTCTATTTTGAGAGTAACACAGCTTGCCAATATTGCCTGCTTCTTTCTTTTTACTAATTTCCAATATGATCCAATGCCACGAAAATTTTATTGACGAGGGGGTTGAGCAAATAATTATTATCCGCCGTTTTCATTTCACTCATAAGTTTATTAACAAAACCAAACAAAAACAACAATAAATGCGTAATCAACAAACGCTCTCGAACAGTCCTCTCTGCAACCGTGCCTTCATCCCAGGCTTCATTGATTCTACGAGCAGATGCAGAAGCATTCGGTTTCGAGCTCAACTTGCACTCATGTAGCAGGGGCAATCTTTTTTGCTAGTGTGTAAGCTCCATAGTGAAGTAAATACACAAGTGTTGTACATCAAAATGTACAAGAGATTGAGCGCTTTCAGACTACATCAACCTTTGAAAATAATCAGCAAAAAAAATCAAAAAACCGCCTGAAAAGCCTAAAAAACGGCGGATAATTATTGCTCAACCTAATAATTTCTAATAGTGCTTCATTTTTTGCTGTTTCCGGCTTCCGACATTTTCACACGAGTCCATGCTTTTTTCATATTTGCAAACGCAAAAGGTCTCCAACGCTTTTGTGTGCATTCTTTTCACTTGCTTTGTCCCATTTTTGCGTTTTCTCTCCCATTCGTGATTAGCTCGGTCATTGTATGGTAGGCGGCGTGAATTCGCAAAAACTCGCCGCAATCGTTGGTCTCTGAAATTAGCCCTCGATTCTGCGGTCGAGAATGATGGCGAAGGATTCGCTCGCTCAGCAGCTCGTCTTGTTCTTTTCAGTTACTCTGTCGATGTTGCCTCTCAGTCTGTTCCGGTTTTTCATCGATTGAGGTTTTCATTTGTTTATTTGGATTGTTAGCGTTTTTGTCATAACATTCATGATGTTTTCGTTGAGGAACCATATTTTGTAACAGTTTTCGCAAAAATATTGATTTTTTTCAGCGTTTACAACAGTGGCGGCATCAGAACTCACTTCGTTTGCCTCCCGTGTTTGGGGAGGACTGCAATCGGCGGTGGCCGGATCGAAAGCCCGTGACACAGCAGCAGCACGTGCCGACAACAAACAGAGAAACAGGGAGAATGGGGTGAGTTTCATAAAAGTTCAGTGCAGTCACTTCCATGGCAAAGGAGGGACCCTGCACTTGCAGAGCGTATGGCATTTTTTCGGCTGTTAAGTGAGATTTTTGGTCTGTGGTAGATTCTGACTCAAAAAACGCTTATCAGTGGCTTCGACTGTGCCCTTTGTACCCATTAATCCAAGAATACTTGGTTGTCCTTTATGAACAAGGGGCCTCTGACTTGACGCGTGTTCGAAACCTGATACAGTTCAACTTTTTTGTCTCTGAATTTTTGATTAGTGGGACGGTTTCAAGTGGGAAAAGGGTTTATCTCGATTACGAAAAGGGCTAAAGGATGACTTCGCTTATCGTGACTGTATATATCCTTTTTTCAATCAGTATGTAGTTTAAGCAGTAACACGCGATACATGGGTAGACGGTGCGCATATTTTTCGTGACCGGAGTCCACCTTGGCCACGAACTCTTCCATCACTGGCCCAGTATAGCAATTATAAAAGATGATACTGACGCAAAAAAAAACAGAACTAGTAGTATATGGTATATTCCGAGTATATGGTATAGGCCAAGATGCATCCAAGCGTCCCCATGATTTTTCGTTGAATACACTGCTACCGCAGGGGTTGAACACTGATCGCTCAGTGCTTTTTACGATTTATTGCTTATAATTGCGTTTTCTTTGTATTAGAAGTTCATATCTGTCATCTATCAAGCGATAAGGACCCCGAGAGCAAAAAGGATTCGAAAAATAGAAATTACTTATCGCTCAGAGAGGTGAAGAAATGGTAAATTGTGGAACTTCCATCTTGAGCCATGGTAGTACTCCTATGAGCAAAAAGATATAGAGCACTCCTCATATTGCTTTGAGATAGATTCTGGTATTTTCTAATTCCACCTTTTGGTTCTTATAAAATGTGTCAAAGAAACTGGAAGTAAGGTATTCTTAGAGTTTCCCATCGTTAATCATTTTCTATGTTTGGCGAAGTGGTGTAGTCGAGTACGTGCTGACCGGCGCATGATTCTGAGACTCAAATTCGGATTGACCGCAGTCAAGCCAACTAAGTCTCCCATTCTCCGGGGCGTTAGTTAGTACCAGCCTTGTGGGAGAGTGAGGACACCGACTTGTAGATCGGCTGGCCTTCGCTGTTCACTGCCTAGTCAGCTCGCCTTGAATAATGCGCTAGATTTTGGAATGAGAGGAAGAATGCGTGGCGCATCTCAAAAGATCTGTAGCTAGTGTTTATCTTTGTCACTTTTTATTCGTTTGGGATTTAGTGTGCCATACACCAGTATGAAGGCGATGAAAGTTATCTATCAAAGGTAACCCGCTTAAGTTTCTACACTCATTATCAGTGAATCAAGTGAGGCAGGACCGTTCGCAGTAATAGTTCGAATTAGGCTACGACTTTTATTGGCACCATGCAGCACTACCATGCTGGTAACAAATTATTCAGCAAATAAATTGTGCTACTAAATCGCAGAAACTATTAAACACGTTCATAGAACTTAGGATAACTTCGTATAATGTATGCTATGTTCGAAGGTTGGTAAAAAATTTTGAAAAGAAAAGAAAAAAAAAAAAAAAAAAAAAAAAAAAAAAAAAAAAAAAAAAAAAAAAAAAAAAAAAAAAAAAAAAAAAAAAAAAAAAAAAAAAAAAAAAAAAAAAAAAAAAAAAAAAAAAAAAAAAAAAAAAAAAAAAAAAAAAAAAAAAAAAAAAAAAAAAAAAAAAAAAAAAAAAAAAAAAAAAAAAAAAAAAAAAAAAAAAAAAAAAAAAAAAAAAAAAAAAAAAAAAAAAAAAAAAAAAAAAAAAAAAAAGTAATAAAAAAAATGAAAAAAGAATAATTGACCAATACCTCGGTATGGCATGATGGTCGCGGACTACTTTAACTCAGCTTTGAACGCTCGGCCGGTCTTACGGAAACTTTTATCCAGTCTTTATACTGCTCAACTATCATCCTCGCCTGCGTCTCCTCGCTTAAACAGCGGCTTATCATTACTGTAACCTGACATATTCAAACCTTGCCACAGTGCGACTGGCTCACCTACCTCGGAGTCCTTCCTCCCTTCAAGGCTTAGTCCCAGAGCTCTCACCTTGTTCCTTGGGGTTTGGAGCCAAGCCAGGCGCCGTCTCGTCGTCCGTGCTTTGGCCTTTCGCGGCAAAGAACTAGGGGAGTTCAAGCAAGTCAGTCGCTAATCCTCCGCGCTCATCTGGGGTCACTCTCTCTCAAAGTTTCACCCGGTAGGAGATTCAGATCGTCTTCTCCAATCGTACAGCTCTAAGTCTCGGGAGGACATTCGCAGGAAAATCAAAGTATCTCGTATTGTCATGCATTGAGCAGGCGACTCAATAAAAAGTCTAGTGGCGCGAGGCAAAGTGTAAAGGCACATTCCATGATTGCTTACTTCTTACTTATTTCTGTTGGAAGTAAATATAGATGTGGTATTTGGTCAGCTAGTAATGAAGACTAGAAACGGACTGGTCACCTAAAAATGTTTCATGGAAGAGGCACATAGGAGTCATCCCATCATCAGCTCTTGTTGATGACCTGCTTTACCAGTGGAGCTTATGCGCAGACGTAGGGTATGGGTCCCCAACCCTGTGTCTCTACTCCTCGCTTTGGACGAGAATAAGGGCCCCTTTCAGAGACGCACAGTTTGGGGAGCCATCCCTGGCCCGATACTGTCGTATGCTGAATGGAAAGGAATGAATAGACAGTGAGAGGGGAGGATGGAAAGGATGAATAGACAAGTGAGAGGGCGCGATGGTCGAAGTGACTCCACTTATACGATGGGAGTGCTGGGGTTGAAAAATATGTTTCTAAAGGGTCTTGGCAGCTATGCTTTAGTTCTCTTTATCACTTGTCGACTAATTACGGAATCTAGTTCCATTTTGTGACAGACGCGGTTACTGGGCGGAAGTGGTGTAGTGGCAAGTGGCACGCTTACCACGCGAGCGGTCCGGGGATCAAATCCTGGGTCGTGAGTCGCCCGGGCCAACCAAGCCTTCCATCCCTCCGGGGTCGGTTAATTGGTACCAGACTTGTCTGGGAGGATAAAAACACTGACTTGTACATCGGCTGGCCCCCGCAAGTCATTGTATAGGCCACATCGCATTCAAACGCCACTACGAATGTACAAATGGAAGTAGAATGCGTGCCGCATCCCAAAAAGGGATTGATCAACGGCAAATGCTTTATCCTTTATTATTTATCCTTTCATTTTTGGCATAGAAACTCATATGCATACATATGCAAGTGCGGAATGTGATTCTCACTCGGTGCCCAACTCTTTCCGGAAAATTCTAGCTGCTAATTATTTTTATAGTATTAAGCAAGTAATAAACAAGCCGGTTCCTTCGAGTACTACATCGAAGGAATAGTAAATGAAATAGAAATACAATTCGCTGCATTGGATAAGTGTTGAAGTTGGATCTCTAATCACTGTGACGAGTTCGACTAAATCATGTATACGTAAGAAAATATGAAGTTGATTTATTTATTTATTTATTTATTTAACTATTGTGCCGTAATTATCACAATGAGGACATAGAAAAGTAGCAAGTTAACAATAGAAGAGTCATGATTACATGACACAGAAGCATAATGAGGGGGGGACGGGGGATGGGGGTATGGGTCGAATAGAAGAATTATCGTTCAAGGAATGTTGCTGAGACCTCTGTTCAATATAAACGGACTGAAAAGTTCAGTTTGTTGCGGTCTGTAATTGATTGAGATTAGTTTTGTATCATGGCAGTCATAATTGGTTGAGATTAATCTTACTGGCTGACTCTGACTTGATGGATGTTTGAGATTAATCCTTGTGGTTAGACTCCTGATGGCACACATGTGTCCGAAAGCGTGGGATACATGTGTCCCTTCAAGAGTCTGAGAAACAAAAATAGATTAAGGCAGAGCTGCAAAAAGAGAATAAAGAATGTTCATCTTTTGTTTATTCTAATAAGATGTTCCATTTAGTCTGGTGATTCTACGGACCGATCTCTCAGAGTGCTGGCTGAATTCGTTGAGCGAATCACAGAGAAAGGTGTTGATGGAATCGTTAAAGAATACAGGTTAGGCATACTACATCGAAACCCTTAACGGTTCCACATTCTTGTTATCTGTTTCGCTTTTTTGTTATCTGTGCTATGTTCCTTCTATTATTTCGAAAATCGATTTTTGACATTGCTATTAGAGCTTTTCTTTGAAGATGGATGTCACTTTTTTCTAGGCGACTAGACAATTTCTATGATACGGCAGCTACTTATGAGGCGTTTAGAGCAAATATGCCTAAGAACAGATATTCAGGTATGGATTTTTCATCCTTTAATGTAGTTTTACTTCATGGATTTGAAAACATGTGGATCAATATTGATCCACTGACAGACCAGTTATACGGGTGTGCAGCTGGGCAGACCACACTCCGCGGCTGATTTTTTCTCATTATAGGCAATCAGAAAAAGAACTCTCTATTCCTTATATTTATTCTGTAGAACATACTCGAATACAGCTATCAGCGAGTTTCAGTAAAAAGTTAGATGGTGTTAGGTTTATCTTAGGTTTGTAGTCTCTTGCTATTTTTTGGTAGTAGATTCGCGCCCATCTTACGCGACCAAAACGATGGCACTGTCGTTATTTGTTTAGATTAGTATATATTTTGTTATATGATTATACTGTTTGTTCTCGTAAATTCTTTTTTGCTTATGATTGCAATTATTATATTTATAGTGTGATTTGTTTCGTTACTATTATTATTTTTCTTTGTTATTTCGTTCCAGAAAGGCTTCCTATCCCGAAATTGGCCTAAATGCGATCATAGTTAAGCATACAGGCGTTCTCCGTTCTTCTCTCCAGTTTGACGGTGCCCTTTATTCGAGTAACCCTGGTCAATTTGTACGTGTCAGAGCATGTCCAGACAGTGACCGAGAATATACTCGTGAGACGCGCGCGGTTAAGTCGCGTATCTTTTGTCCATGTCTGGAAACTGGGAGGCGCTCAATTTTCTTCCAAGGTCAGGTCTCCAGCGCTGGGCGATGGTTGAAGCCCAAGATGAGACAGACTTCGGCCTACAAATTGGCCTACGCCTAAACTTAGGGTTAAGCTCAGGCTCAGGCTTAGGCCTGCTACGAGCAATTTGGGGTGATATGAGGTGATCCGACCTGAGCAAGTAAACTGATATACACCTCAAAAAGCTGACCTGTCTGAATGATATTATTTGAAGGCCCGAAAATTGGTGTCAGTTATTGTTTTTGGTTTCCTCATCTTGCGTGGCCGACTATCATTTCTATTTTGGTGGCCGAAAACCCCCTTAATACGTCGACATCACGCCATCTTTTGTGTACTTTGGCAAGTTTGCTGCCACCGTATTGCTTGTCTAAACTTTGAAGTTTTGCCAAGTCTGATAAGGATAAAAAGGATAAAGCATTTGCCGTTGATCAATCCCTTTTTGGGATGCGGCACGCATTCTACTTCCATTTGTACATTCGTAGTGGCGTTTGAATGCGATGTGGCCTATACAATGACTTGCGGGGGCCAGCCGATGTACAAGTCAGTGTTTTTATCCTCCCAGACAAGTCTGGTACCAATTAACCGACCCCGGAGGGATGGAAGGCTTGGTTGGCCCGGGCGACTCACGACCCAGGATTTGATCCCCGGACCGCTCGCGTGGTAAGCGTGCCACTTGCCACTACACCACTTCCGCCCCGTCGATTGTGTAATTTCCTCGAGCTTGATAAGGTATATGTATAGCCTTCTCGAATCAGCCGCTGTGGCTGAGGTAGAACTGTCGACTTGTAGTTCAGGTAGTGTCGTCACGGGGCTACAGGGTTTACAGGGTTGCCTATGACTACCCTGCCAGGCAAGCTAGTCATTAAATGCTGTGGTATTCCTTCTACGTCGCTTTGGTGGCTCTTGAAAGTGAGGAATCTATGTTGGAGTTCGAAGTGGCGGTCGCAGCATCCACTTACCCACTGAAACTGTATGACTCGAGTTTCCTGATACTTTTCGTGAGCACAAGGCTCTTTACCCCTAACCCTCTCTTTCCCCTCCTGTGTGGATGTCATCTTTCGGAGTCGAGGGCGTATACTGATTTTGGAAAAATACACGTCAAATCGAACTGAAAGTTTGTTTCCAATATCGCTAGGTTGGTCTGGTGTCGCTCAGCCCTCTCTGGAACTATGGAAAAGCCGTTTAGATTGGGCATGTTCGAAGCAGGTTTTGATTCAAGCCATGGGTGTAGTAGTAGGTACCGTTTCCCACTGCATGACATGATAATTGAGGATCAGTAGAGAG